CTCACGAGCCTTTTGGATACCCAGCCTGAATTCATCCAATTCAGGTCTCAGCTTGTTCCCACGATGATAAAACACCAGCGCCATCTCGAAATCTCCCTTTGCATACAACGCCTCTGCCTTGAACAGCACTCCCTAAAAACCCAGGTTGCAAAAGTGAGCCACAACTCCAGAAAAGCCAAGAGAATGAGCTATAAAACAGCTCTTTCTATCACTCTTGTCCCATACCTTGAAGAACTCGGGATCATGCTTCAAGGCAGTGTTGGCATCATCCAAAGCGCTCTGAGAATCTCCCATCTGCAAAAAGCATTTCGACCTCGCCACCAACACATGTTTATCCGTGGGTCGAACCGCCAAAGCCTATGTTTTAGGTTTAGTTAACATCCTCCAGATGGTGTGCGGGTTGTTCCAGCTTTGAGATGGAAGATTCTACCTTAGAGAACGCTTCAATGGCTTTCCTGAAATCTCCTTGTTTGGCCAAAATATCTCCTTCAGCAGCTAGAGACTGGAAGGATATGACGAGGCTTTCGGTTTCATTTTCGTTCTCTGTGGCATGCTGCTGCTTCTTGCCCAGCGACTGCCCGAGATCGTTTTCATCCATTCCCTTTGGCTTCCAAGTATTTTGACAATTCTGGACGTGACACCAAACGAGAGAGAGGGCGAAAAAGAGATAGAGAATGAGGTGCGCAAGGTCCATTTGTAATATGTTTGACGATAAATATGTTATTATTTCTTGACAGGGGAGGATGATAAGAATTGAGCGAGCTCGGAAAAAAAATGAATCCTACTTTGCTGCCTTGGGAATAGCCATAACTCCCTCCCATACCCGCTTGGCGTTCAGATTGCCCCGTAGGCTCATCATCGGTGCAAAAAACTCAAGCACTTCCCTCATGACTTGCTGACTTTTCGATTTGCTGTTTAAAGCGGTCCCATCTATATACACAGGCATAACAAAAACTGATATATGATCCTCAGTATTTGTACTTTGTAGAGTAATCTATGATAAAGTTAGCATCACCAACAAACTTGATAATAACATACCTTTCGGGCTGACCACAAGACCTCTTCCCTTCCTAGCCCCCCTGAAAACCACCTCAACAATATCAATCAGCTCCGCCTTATCCTCAATAGCCCAATTAATCTTGTTGTTGTTTCCAGTTCCCAAATCAATCATGATGTGCTTGTTCCTGTAAAAGAACATGGTGGTGCATGGATCGTAAAGCTCATACATTTTGTTGAAATCAGGGACCTCACTGATATCCACCTTTGCAAACACATTAGCCAACCGGTCTTGAAGGCGAAATACTTACGAGGTAGATGACAGCAAAGTTCTTAACCTTATCGGCAATGGCATAGAGGGTTTCGTCCATCCGCATGCAGGTGGTGTCCCAATCGTGGCCGAATCGGATGACGACCACCCGTTCTTCTTCAGAGAGGATGGCCTGGTCGACATGCCATCCAGACGGCAGATGTGGCAGAAAGTAACTGAAAGAGAAGGAATGAATGGTCAGCAAGGCGGTTTGGGGTTGGATGGCAGCAGCGTACATACCTCATGTCCTGATCAACTCAAACTGCGGACAAAAGTTGCAGGAAGATATAATCAAGATTTTGCAATTTCAGAGTTTGGGACGGGTTGGTGACAAACTTGCCTAAGAGCAAGGAGAAGGAATCCTCCAAAATGTTCGCACTGGGAGAGCCAGACTCGGACAATGGTGGAGAGGACTTGACGTTGCGCGAATAACTCTTTCAAGGGGATCTGGAAGACCTCGAAATCGATCCATCCACAGGCATTCCCATGCTGCGCCATCGTGGCCCCAATGCAAAATGCAGGTACGCCCGAATCCTTCTTGCCAATTACTTTTTTGAAATCTGATTCATAAACTTAGACCCAGAAGGAACCATCAGCATGGATTGGATGAATACAACCTTAAATGCGCAAATGTGGAAGAGGATGTCGCCGGGACCACGTCAGCAGAATCCTTTCCGTTCCGAGACCTGGTAACCTCATGGGCAACGTCAAGATATCTGATCCACTTTCAACAGCTTCCGATGCATTCAGAAGAGCTTATGAACAGCTTGAACGATGAAAAGGCGGAAAACAATCTCAACGGCATCAGGATTTTGAGAGCATACCTCTGTCTGGGTGAGAAAATCGAGGCATCCTGTCTAAATGATTTGCAGAAGAGATATCCGTGAAAAGGCAAAGCGTTCTTGAACTCAATATTTTGGGAAGACTGAGAGACTTCTTGTTTCATCCGTCTGAAGAGATTCAAGTAAGGCCATTTCCCGTTCGAAACATCCTTCTGAAATTTCATTGCAGTACGAAACTTGCTGGGTACTTACGAATATTGCCGCGGGGCAGCGCTCCGATATCCAAGCCATGTTGGACGCTTTTCTTGTCAAGCCCCTCATTTCACTTGTTCAATTTTCAGTACCTCGCGTGCAAGCTCAGGTCTCTTCATCCAAAACTTTTTCTTGTTTGATGCTGATGTTTTCAAACTCAAAGGCAGCTTGGGTACTTGGAAACATTGCCGGAGAAGGGCTCGAGTTTTGCCAACTTTTGCTCAAGGAAGGCGTCATGGACTCGCTACTATACTTGGCGCCGTCAACAAAAGAAACGCACCAATCCGAGGATTCTTCAAGGCGTCAAGTGGCATGCTGGTTAATTTCAAACATTTGCCGGTGGGGGATCGAGGATTGGCAAGAGGTGGGTGGGGTCTCCTTTGCTTTTGAATTCTGAAATGCTTACCACTCTTTCTCTCCAGGTTCAGAAATGCTTTGATTTACTCGAGGACACTCTACTATTCACGGAAAGTGATGATGTACGGGCAGAATGCTTCTGGGCATTGTCCCGAATTTTTCAGAATCAACATGAGTGCACTGTAAGATTCCTCAACGCAAACGTATGCTTTCATCTTTTAGAGGCCTCGTAAGTTTCTAGCCCATCAAAATAAGCATTTAACGATTCACAGCAAGATTGCCAAACCACATTTGCAAACTCCTGCTCTCAGCGCCATCTCGAACATTTCCGCAACTCCAAGATACATTGATGTATTTCTTTGTCTCCATGGTCAGCAAGCTGATCTATTTTCAGGAATTGATCCGCTTTGGTCTTTTACATATCATTCACTTTATCCTTCGCTTTCGCGACAATTTTTCAACGCAATCCGCTTTGCAAGTTCTTAACATTTTGGCAAATATCACCAGTGGCAACGCTGCACAAAAGAGCCACGTCGTCGATCTGGGGATGTTTGAAGAGCTTTGCAGCATCCTCTCAGGAGCCGAGCAGGCTTTGAAGCAAGAAGCGATTCTGGTTTTTCGGAATGCCGTTGATTGTGATGCCATGCCAGATCACTTTAGGTTGAACATTCTCCTTCATCTTCATACCATGCATTTCTACTCATTTAATGAAACTGTATATTATTGCAGAGAGATTGTCGGCTGGAACGGGGAGCTTTTCAAACCCTTAACAGCATTCATTTCAAATTCATACGACCACCCGAAATACCTTTTGCCGGCCGTCGAGACCCTCAACATCATTTTCAGCCGCGGAAACGAGCCTGCCGTCAAATCCCTCTACAACTTTGCCGATCCCAACATCAACATTTACGTTTCGTCCATGTTCCAGCTGGATCCTCAAAATTTCGAAAATCTTTGGTCTGCGTACCAAAAAGCCCGGGTCAACGGTGATGACCTCACCACTTTGCTCTCGAAATGTTCCGTCGCCGAACGGAGCGGCCCTGACGCGATACCAACAAGAGTGCAGGGCACGGAGACAGGAATCTTCCGTCCCGATCATATTGCACCTGTGATTTCTACCCCTTCCACGTCAACGATTCAATCAGATATGGCTGCCTTTGTGAAAGAGCAGAGGTTGCGGAGACGGATCGCTGCCGACCTCGAAAAATTGATGCAGACGCATCTAAAGAGCCACACGGATGTGAGGTTGGGAATGGATGGTCTTGTCGATGATATTGTAACAAGCATGCGACTTGTAAATGATTCTTGATTGTTGTTGCATCCGGCCGAAAAGAATTGCCTTCCCCTAGGAAAATATATTCAATTTATTTATTCATTCTTTCGTTGGAGCATGTGTGCTGCGGACGATTCATCGTGGAGAATATACATTCCGTCCTTGTTGGCATTGTTTCGTCGGCAGTTTGCGCGTTCTGTCCGTCTTGCGTCTACTTTTGAAAATGGATTTTGAAGACTATCGACACTACCATTAACGATTCTCCGTAACTGTAGGAAAATTGAAGCCAAGCAACGACACGGACGGTTGATCTGTTTGGTCAAAGATTCAGGGCAGAGATCAGCCCATTGTATCCCTCTTTCCTGAACACGAAAAGGAGTCGCGCTCAGACAAGACAGACGAAGTCATCATCGTCAATGACCAACCGTCTCCAGCTTCCCTCAATCCACATCAGACGTCGGATCATGAGGGACCTTTCAAGGCCCCTGGTGGATATAGCTGCAGAGCTTCGAGGAGTGCTGAAGCCTGTGCCGTTGGGCCAAACATACGTTGACACCGTCGGGCATGCACGGAACTCGTCTCGAAGCCATGGTCGCTACGGGTGGGGGACGATCCGTAGGTTCAACGGTGGCTGCCAGGTGCAAGAGGAGCTGACATGCACGAAAGAGCCGTTGTAGGAGAAGGCTGTTGGTTTCCCAAAGGAAGCTGTTGATGTGGAGCTGAAGGGGTCGAGGTCGGCTGTGGAGCAGGAGCCGTGTAGGGCAGTCCGCCGGCTCGTCGACCTTTCATGAGCTCGATGTTGAAATTTTGGAAGCTGTAAAGGAGCAAAAGTTCGAAACCCCATGTAGGGCCACGCAGGATGGGCTGTGCTCGTGCTGGAGATGGTCTCCCTTCGATGATCCATAACGTTTGGGTGCAAGCGGCGGGCTGGGCTATATTTTGGATTTTTGACAATTTTTGTTTCATACACGAAGTAGAAAGTCCGAAACGTTGGACAGCAATATTCTATTTTTGGAAAAAAAATTACGTATGCCTCTTCCCGGAATCGAACCAGGGATCTTTGCATTACAAGTGCAACGCCTTAAACCACTTAGCCAAAGAGGCGGATTTCTTGAAGATGGAAGAATTTCGTTGTAATTGTACCTTTTTCTTTAATTTTAGACAGCATCAAGTGATCAAGTGAGAGAAGTAAAGTGGCAGAATCTTTACGGCAGTCTTGCAAATGTTGCGACTCATCAATGAAGGCTCATTAGGGAGCGAGCATTCCGACGGTACCAATGACCGAGTGGAAGGGTCCCGTCAGCGATACTGCAATGTCAGCTGAAATTATTCGGAAAAGAACATGTACAGGATACTTTCTCATTACTTTCTCATGGTGGCAGATTTAGCCACGTCCATTTTGTCAACAAACCATTATAAGAGCATGGCATGTAGATGAGAAATTCAGTCTGCCATAATCCAAACAATATAGATGTGTTGGTGACGTATTGCTGATGCTGTCACAGAGAGAATCACCTTTACTTTCACCACTTCATTCTTAGTGCATGACTCCACGTGGAATGTACAACCAGTCCATGAATCAGGCTTGCCGCTCACCCGAGAAAGCACCAAAACGCATCGCGTTAATGGACTAAAGTCCTGGTGCAGCCACGAGCTTGGGGGGTATAAGAGCAGCCGGTTTGAAAGGTTTTGACCATGGCCGTCGCACCGCCCTTTGGTTCTGGATGATGGAGAGCTTTGGTAGCTGTCTCCGGCTCCACAGCGCTTCTCTTTGCCAGCCTTGAGCTTGCCTCTGCCATGAGACAATTTGAGGACGAGGTGATTGCTCTCATAGCCCATTCTCAACAAAGGCAGGAGCATCTTTGTGGCTACCCTGACTCTAACTACAATCTTTAATCCGATTAAACCATCACACCCTGGCGTTTTATTACATGTAGTCATGGTTGGCCAATTTTGAAAATTATATAGGTGGAATAACACCTTGACATACAGAACCAAACAGAGATAAGAAACAACAAGTAACTAATAACATTCGTCAAGCAAAGGTTATCAAAACCAACCCAGAGAGAAAAAAAAACATCCAAACATGAAGAAAATTTCAAGCCCAAGCTCCAATGATGGCCATACCCGTCGCTCCCAACCACAAGCAAAGAACCTGCATACCGACCCTCCATCCTCTCATCTTTTTGACATCGGAGCTTTGAAAGTGGAGGAAAATGATGTTGACCAGGGCATCGTAGGCGAGAATGCCGGCAGCAAGGGCTTCGAGGATTCCTTGGGAAATCAGGGATGACCGAGCGTTGGCGTTGTAGGAGCTGTTGATGGCAATGCCGATGAGGATTCCGATGGGGGTTGTAAGGACATCTGATGATTGATGGGAAAAGTAGTCTTTTTTTAGCAAAATGGCCCAGAAGATGAAAAAGGAGAATGAGCAACTTACAAAACAGGACCATGCCCCAAGTGACAGCCAGCCTCCTGAACTGGGTTTCCATGACAACCGTGCTCAACGCAATTCCTTCAAAAAACTGATGGAAGACGAGAGCCGCGAAAAGCGTCTTGGCTTCAGGTCCCCTCGTGACACCGAGCGCAAGACCGATGATAATGGAATGGGTGGCGATGCCAAGCTCAAGAATGTATGTCGTGACGCGTTTTTCTTTGAGCAGAATTAGATGATGACCATGGTCGTCTGACAAGGGACCAGTGTGGAGCTCGGCCATCATTTGAGGGGTTTGGGTGTCGTTGCAGAGGATGGTGTTGTTTTGGACGATCGGAGCAGCAGACGTGCTGGAGGTGGAGAGGGTCTCGACGTCTTGGTTGCCAGAGAGAGTGGAGGCACGCTTGTGAAGCTCTTTTTCATCCTTTCCTGGGAGCGGGTGGTGGTGAGCAGCAGCGCCAGCGCCAGGAGCAACGGAAGCAGCTTCGGCGGCACCAGCGGAGAAGGGAGTGTGATCGGGGCCCATAGAGTTGGAGATGGCGCGAGATGCCATGAGCTGGATGAGATGGGTCGACAGAGCGCCAAAGAGGGCAATGGCGCATGCCAGTGACGAGTAGGTTTCCGTAAAGAAGGTGGGAAGACAAGGATTTGTGAGTAGCTCGATGGCGGGGCTCAGAATGTGGATGAAGGCTGTGCAGAGGATGACTCCGGCACCAAAAAGCTTGGCGCATTGAAAGAAGAGAGTGTTGACCTGCATATATTATTTTTGCCGAGAGTTAGTGAGATTAGATATAGAGGAAGGAAACGAAAGAGGCAAGAGAAAAGACAAAAGGGTGACTTACGGAAGCGCCGGAGTGAACATGCCTCGCGCCGACGGGGATGACAACACCGAGGAGAGAGACGGCCATGATCGTGAAGAGGGCAATGAGGTGTATGCTCTTATCATAGTCGCCATCCAGAGCAAGAGTGCATGCATCCTCTTCTGCCTCTTTCTCCTCGGCAGCAGCAGTCTCGTCGCCCTCGGCGGTAGGAGGGGCATCCTTGTTGTCCTTGTCGTCGGCTGGAAGGGTACCTGTTTTTGATTCAAGAGATAAAAATTTTTTAGGTTTTGCAAATAGGGTTGGGGGAATGAGAGGCAAGGACGTCAAGCAAGAGGAGAGAGGGTTCATATTCAAAAGATCGGTGCTCGAGGAGCGACGGAATGGAAGCGTAGGAGAAGGAGAGGGGGAGGGCATGGATGGCTGGCTGGAATGAGAAGGGATTCAAAAACTTACTGTTGTCGACGTTGGTAGGAAGAATGATGATGGAAGTGGTGGTGGTGGAAGCGATGGCTCTCGTTGAAGAAGAGAGCTGCTGCTGAGGGGCAGCGATGATGAAAGAAGGTTGTATGGCCAAGATGGCGGCCAAGAGAAGGACACTGTACTTTTTTGAGCTCATCTTTTGAAAGCTTAAGGAAGGTAAGGCTGAGGATGAAGAGAAGGGTGAGGGTGAGGGTGAGGGTGAGGAAGAGGAAGAGGATGTTGATGAGGATGTTGAAGAAGAGTGCATCAGCATCTATCTATCTGTGTGAAGTGGAAGTGGAAGTGCAATCGGTGATGGAAGTGATGGGAGTGATAGGAGCGATGAGACTGGCACAGACAGAGATGATAATGAAAAGTTTAAAAAAAATAAAAATAAAAAAAATA